TAGTAAGATAGTAAGAATGTTGTGTTATTCACTCAAATAAATCTCCATAATGTGGGTTTCTTCTCTTGCAAAAAAATGACGTAGTTACTGTCTGGGCAACAAACAATGGTTAGGATCATGATAAAACTCAACAAAAAACATTACACTGTTTTCAGATTTTGTTAACAACATAGACACTTTTACTCCCCGCCAACACTAGAAAGGTATCATTTTTTCCCTTCAATATTATGCAAGGGACAATATATTGCATATGACGGTAGCATTTAAGCTTTTCTTACATAAATAATTTTATTATGCCCTAATATAGTACTAAGTTACTTGATTAAACATGTTTATTTATGGACTATTATATGTTTTGCATCAAGTTCAGACCCAAGGTTTAAATGATTTTATTTTGGAGAGGTTTTATAAGTAATAAGTTACTTGAATATTATAAGTGATTTTTATTCTGAATGGTTTTATTGAATATGTATGAATTATAATATTAATCATTGTCTGCAGAAATCAACAATTGTAAGACAGATTTTAGAGGTTTTACGGTTCCCTGGGTGGAAAATCAGATTATGTCAACCTATCCACCTTAATTAGTTATGAATAATTAATTCTTTTTAATATTAATATAATATATATTTTATTTATTATATTCTTATTCATATTTTTAAATTTAATTATGTTTGACAACTATTTTATTAACTAGTGATTTGTTAGTTAATATGTCTGGTGATATACTATAAATAGATTAAAATTGGATCTATTTTATTAATTAGTGATTGGTTAGTTAATATGTTTAGTGATCTATTATAAAAAAATTGAAATTAGACCATGTTATACTTATATTTAATTACTTAATTACGTAGTATTAAAAATGAAATTTCTCATTATTTTATTTTTCTTTTTAACAAAATTTTTAATATCTCCTTTAGTTTTTTATTTATTATTGAAGACTACTTGTGGTAACAATACATCATTAAATTAATTAAAATTATTAAGGTTTATTTCATCAATTGTAATTAAACTAATTGACATTATTGTTTATAAAATAAAAACAATTAAAATTATTAGATTATATTTTTAATCATTATGAAATTTATATATTACTTTGCTATTCATGGAAACTTTTTATTTAGTATATCTGATCATTATTTAAACAAATTTATTATTTTATTTATAGATTTTTAAATTAATTAATAAATTTACTTATGATTATTATAAAAATTTATTTTAATAAAAAATAAAATTTTATTTATATCATTATAATATAATAAAATTTTCTTTTTTTATCTCTATTCAGCTTCAAATTGATTCTGAGACTTTGTTAGTTTAAGGTTGATTGTACTACTAATTTGTTTTTTTATCATTTAAATATTTTTATAAAAATTCGAGATTCTTACTTAAAATAAAATAAAATTTTCAATTATTTATATTTTTAGAAAATTGGTAATAAAACAAAAAAAAATCAATAGAGATTTTATAGTTTTTTTAAACTTATAAAATTACTAAAACAAAATAAAATATTTTCAAAAAAATTACAAAATGGTAGTCATGAAAAATAAATGATAAATGATATTTTACTTTAATAATATTAATTACATATTAAAATAATAAATTCAATATTAATCACTAATAGATGGTACTTATTTATAAATATAATTAAATATGAGACACTTATTAATCACTATTGCATAAATAAATTTGAGATGACACCATAAATATTTAGTTTTTCATTATACATAAACATATGAATAATTTAGTTTTTCAATTTAAAATATTTTCAGTAAATAAGTAATTTTAAAGTTGTCTTTTTAACTTGAAATTAATTTTGTTTTTTTATCTTTTAAATTTTTTTATTAAATTTTGAGATTCTTACTAGAAATAAAACATATTTTGTAATTATTTAGATTTTTAGAAAAATATTAATAAAACAAAAATAAATCAATAGAGATTTTGTAATTTTTTTAAACTTATAAAATTACTAAAACAAGATAAAAAAAATTTCAAAAAAAAATGATAAATAGTAGTTATGAAAAAATAATGATAAATAGTAATCATGAAAAAAATAATTACAAGTGATAAAAATTTATTTATACAGTAATTTTTACAAACAAGAATAAGTTACAATTATATGTTATATTAAAAATAGCTTTTAAAAATTTTTATTGATTAATTATTCAAAAAAATATTTTTATTTAATAATTAGTTAAAAAATCGAATATTGTTATTTTGCTATAAAATCTAAAGATTGTATAATAATAGTAAACTTTAAAGAATTCAAATAATTTAATTATTCAAAAAAGAATTATTTGATTTAATTTTTATATTTATTATTGATATGTAATTGATTTCGTTTAATTATATTCCATTAATTAATTAATCATATTGATTGGTTTAAATTATATTCTATTAATTAATTTTATCAAAAAGTAAGTTACTCCATAATTACAAGTTGATAAAATTTTATGTTCCATTAAATTTCAGTGAGTACATCTTAAATACTTAATACATGAACATTTAGTGAGAATATTTTTAAACTTATTTTAAAATCATTTTTAAATTATTAATTCTTTGAATTGTGAATTATGAATTGAATTATATCTAATTTTTGATTTACTTACTGATATCTACATTAATAAATATTATATTATTTTTTAATATTATAATTGATGGTGGATACAATTATTTTTAATAATATAGTAGCTTATGATTTATTTAAATAAAAAAATAAAAATATTTTACCACTATTTTATTCTCCAAATATGTTTAATTTCTTAATTAAAAATATTTTTTTAATTTATAAAAAAACTAAAATAAAACAAAATCTTTTCAAACATTTTATAATGATAATTATGATAAAAAATAATAATGGTAATCGTGAAAAAAAATGAAAATAAATTATAAAAATATTTTTTTAATTTATAAAAAAACTAAAATAAAACAAAATCTTTTCAAACATTTTATAATGATGATTATGATAAAAAATAATAATGGTAATCGTGAAAAAAAATGAAAATAAATTATAATTATTTTTATAAACGGAAATACGTTATAACTATATTTATAAACGGGAAACAGTTATAATTATTTTTATAAATGAGAATAAGTTATAATTATTTTTATAACAAGGAATAAGTTATAAATACATTTATAAACGGAAAAATACAATTATCGATACAATTATTTTTACAAACGAAAATAAGTTACAAATATTTTTATAAAAAGACACATGAGTTCAAAATGCTTATAAACAAGAAAAAGTTAACATGTTGATAAAATAATTTTTATAAACAAAAATAAATTATACATATATTTATAAACGGGAATAAATTACAAATATTTGTACAGTGGAATACCTGAGGACATTTTCTATTTACACTATATTCTATTAAATCTACACTGCACACTATTTTACTTTTATAAAGGATTAAAAATATTTTTATAAATTGTTACACTGATTCAAGTCACTTATAAACTGGAAAAATCTACGCGATATAATTATTAAAATCATGATAAAAAAAATATTAAATGATAATCATAATAACTAAAACTAATCAAAACTTTTCAAATTAAATTTATGATAAAAAAATATTAAATGGTAGTCATAAAAATTTAATGATAAATGGTAATTATAAAAAATTAATGATAAAATATAAAAATGTATTCATACAATCATTTTTATAAGCTGAATAAATTACAATTGTTGTTATAAACAGGAATAAGTTATTAATAATTTTATAAACATAATAAATTCAACTATTTTTATACAATTATTTGTATAAATGAGAATAAGTTATCAATATTTTTATAAAGGAGAAAATTGAATTATTAAAATAATTGTTTTTAACATTTAAAAATATAAAAATGGCTTTATTGTAGGAATGAAAAATTCTATCAGAAAGTAATTATTGTCCCATGTTGGAGTTATGTATTGAATGATATTATTGTATATTTTTTAATTTTATAGGTAGAAAATGTTAATTTTGTATTTTATAATTTATACCTACTGTTGTTGTGGACTTATTAATCTATTAAATTGGTTACGTTGTAAAAAATGTAGAATCTAAAAAAAATTAGAGGATTGACAAATAATTTTTCCAAGATAGTGTGTTAATACAGAATAAACACGTTCGATAGCCCAAATATCTTGCTAATTTATTCTAAATAGATTATTCATCGTAGAATAGAAAGAATAATATTTAAAAAAACAAAAGTTATAGAAGTTAAAAAAAACAGAGAGCACCAAATTGCGTATAAATAATAAACCAGACTAAAATTTGAACAAAAAACACCCAAATGAGCCGAGCAACAAAACCACAAGAAAAGAAAAACTAAAGCCAATCAATTCAGCGTCCAGACTTTCTTAAAGAATTTTACTACAGTGTCCCAAATTTAAAATTTAAATATCAAATTATCTTATTTAAATTTTTTTAAAAAAATATCTTAATTTAGTAAATGCTCGGCCATTCAAATAACAAGCAGATGATAAAAATTTAAGATAAAGATACTCGATTATTCAAATGGCGAACACCATAATATTTTTCATTTTTCATTGGCTAGTCTTACTGCATGCATACAAACCAATTTTTTTTTTTTACTAGTGTGTGCTCACTATTTAAATAGCCAAACATCTACTTAGCCAAAATTTATCATCTACTCTCATTTGAATGGCTGAGCAAGCACTAAAATAAAGACATCTTAGAATTTTTTTTCAAAAGCCGATAGTTTGATATTTAATATTAAAAACTGGGACACTGGAGTAAAATTCTCACTTTCTTAAAGTCTTTGACACAAGATCTTTTTAGAGAGAGCAAGTTGCAGAGTGTAGCTGGCAACCAACACACCTCTAACTAGTTATTTGAACAGGTCCCTCAGTAAAAAAAGGACAAAACTCAGAACGCACGAGCATGAATCCATTTTCACGCTGAGCTATGTTTTAAATAAATATGAGAAGTTTATACACTATTCTTAACCAGCTTTCATAATGTAGATCTAAACAAAAGTAAATTTCACAATGACACCTCTTTATTGAAGATCCAAGTGAATTTGTGGTTGATCTTCCTTGCTCGCAAATCAAGACGTTCCTGCAATCTTCTAATTCTCGGTGCAAGTTTACACACAAACTCTTGTGCACGTTGTCCCTCACTTGTCAACCCCTCAAGCTTCTCCAGTTTCCACCTTCCAATTAAAAACTCCAAGATATCAGCATAATCATCCGTCGAGTACACGCCAATACGTTGCGCCACCGCAGAATAATGATCGAAGAGTCGCGGGTCTTGTCCGTCGTGCATCAAGTGTGCAGGCATTGTAATCTTGCGGCGCATCATATTTGCTATAGCAATCATGGTTTCTGATGAGTCCACTTCTAGAAGCTTCTCGACGATCCTTATGTATGCATTCTCGTGACGCTTCTCGTCCGCAGCAATGGTACCGCATATTTGTGCTAGGACCAAATCACCTCTTTCTTTAGCCATTCGAGCTATGTTGCCGTGCGTCACAAATGTGGCTCGCTCTTGAAATGATGTGTACACAAAGCCCATGTACGCGTTGTTTTCGGTTCCCACGTCCTACAGAAAGAACAATCAATTTTTATTAAGAAAATGCTAACCATGCTAACAATGTATGATTGATTACATATGAAATTACCACGCCAGTTCCAATCAGGTAATGTATCGTCTTCTCAATCATGCGCATATCAACGCGACCGGAAAGATAGAGATAGGTTTTGAGTAAATCTCCATGTCTATTTTCTTCGGCAGTCCAAGATCTTGTCCATATAGCCCATGGTGTCAAACTCGAACCAGTCTCGTCCCTAATTCCATCCAACCCGTTCACCCATGTTTGGTACGTAGGCAATGCTTCCTCAGTGATCATGCCACCGACCAAAACCACAAGATAATCGTCTGGAAGCTCGGCCGTTCGATCTTTCAGGGCTTTCACTTGATCGATGAACTCGTCCGCGGGTAGCGACGAGTCTGGCAACAAGTCATGGGGTTGCCAGCTTTCCTCCACAGGTTTGATCAGTGGCAAAAGGCTTTGCACTGCCCAGTTTTCAAGTGATTTGAATACTTCTTTTTTCTCCGGTGGAATTGAGTGTGTCTTTTGGAGATTAAGGAATGTTTTGGATTGATCCTTTAGATAGCATCGTGGTGGAGTCCTTGCTCCTAGTTGTGTGGATATTGACATTGCCATTGTCATTGTCATTGTTTGCTATTACTTCTCTTTGCTGTTGATTAAAGAAATAAACGTTTGTTGAAACTAGAAAACCAAACCAGCTTTTATATGTAAACATGTGTGAGTGAGTCATACGCAAGGCAGACCTTTTAGAGGCTCAGCAAATAATAAAAATTAAGTAATTAATATTTTATAAAATTATAAAATCAAAATGTAAAAAATGTACTGATTTGAGGGTCCATATAATAAATTTTAAAAGATTATATTAAAAAAATTATCATTAAAAGAATAATATAAATTTAATGTATTTTGTAAAATTATAACACTAAACTATAAAATTAAAATTAATGTATTTTATAAAATAATAAAGAAAACTGTAAATTTTATAACAGTGGTTGAATCTATAGTAAAAATAAAAAAATATAATTTCAAATGATTATATAAAATAAACCATGTATCATTTAAAATATAAAATAAATATAATGAATTAAAATTTTATAAAACTATAAAATCAAAATCTAAAAGTTTATTGACTTGAGGAATTGGCTTTTTGATAACCATCATCTGTTAGGGTTTAAGACAATTGAACCTTTGCCGACGTTGGTTTAAACTCCTGCTCTTAGGAGCAGGGACCTAAGTGGGTGGGGTTGATGTGTTTATGGGTTGCGATGAAGAAGGGGAGGGGTCGGCCGAAAAATAACAAGACGATAACTCCAAGTGCTTTCACGCCTTATGTTACAAAAATATCGGAATCTAGTGCGAAGGGAGAAGGTAAGAATGTGTATTAGGAGTGGTTAAAGAAAGCAGTGAAGAGGAAACCATCGCTCAAACCCTAGTTAAGAATCCTGCACTTGAAGTAGAGGAGAAGAATATCCAAAAGGAGGAGAATAATAGCAAGCTTTGGGTTGATGTTGTTAGTGGAAATCACATCCCAAAAAATGGAATGAATATTGAGTTTATCGCTCCATCAATTGTTGAAGGAGAATTTGAAGTGACAATCAAAGAAGAAGATGTGGAAATGGCGATAAGATACTGGGAAGCTTCTCTTATCATGTACGTATTAGGGAAGGGCTTGAGTATGAATGCTGTGAAACAGTTAATGACAAGGTACTAGAATTTAGTCAAGCTCCCTGAAATGTTCTACCATGAAGAATGGTATTTCATCTTGAGATTTAAATCGTTTATTGAGAAAGAATTGTGCAGATGAAAGGCCCGTACACGATATACAATATGCCTATGATCCTCACAGATTGGAAACCAGATTTCAACTTTCAACATGATATGCTTAAAACGCTTCCAATATGGGTTAAACTTCCTCATTTGCCTTTGTATTTTTGGGGTCCCAAAAGCCTTAGGAAAATTGGGAATGCTCTGGGTAACCCTCTAGTCACTGGCGAATGTACATCGAATTAACTTCTTATATCATATGCGAGAATCCTTGTTGAGATAAATATTACTCAGAAGCAGAAGGAACCCATCACCATAAAAGACCATGAAGGGAACAAGTTTCGACAACCAGTGGAGTATGAATGGAAACCCCTATATTGTAAAGCTTGTAAAAAGATTAGGCATAGATGTAATAAGGAAAGTAAAATTGTGAAGCAATGGAAAGAAAAGGAAGTTGTCCAAAATATTCCAAAGGCAGTGGAACAAGAGCCATTCCAAGGGGACCATGAAAAGGGATCTGTTAGTTTATGCGCGGCCTCTAAGAAGGGTGTGAATTAGATTTATTGGACTTTACTCAATTTGAAGCGTTAGCACTGGTTTTGTTATTTTTCAGAAATGATATGAAAATAAATATGCTGAAAAAATAGATGGAAAAAGTAAAGAACACAAAGATATATCCTGATTCCCCTCACAATTCGAGAGTACTCCAGTCCCCTCACTCCCCGTGAGAGATTTTCACTATGTCAGATCTTTATACAAGTATTCCACCAAGACCTATCCTACAATCTTCTAACATAAGCAACAAAATCAATAAGGACAATCCCCTTATGATCTTTGCAAAGTGTAACAAGAGAACAATCATTCCTTATTCACTCTCTTGCTTCCAACAATCCTGGATAACAAGGAAATTGTAACAATATGAATTTTTACAAGTGTTTGAATTTGGATAACAATATATATCAATTCCTAGAAGTGATCTTCTCTATCAAGTAGGCAATTCTTAATATGTAGTACAAGTGCTTAATGATTTATGTAGTTGAAACTATTTGAAAATGTAATGAAATTGATGTGCAAAAGTTTAAGAATACTTGATTTTGAAAATGAGAGAATAAAAGTTATGAATTGCTATGAAAGAGAGATGAGTTTGAATTCTGAAAAGTATGGTTTATATAATGTCTTAACACCTTTCTAAAAGTATACAAAAATATGAAAAGATGTCATGGTTCAAAAATGCTTTTAAAAAATGGTTTTGCATCAGAATTTTCATGAAAAAGTGCCACTAGTTCAGTGGTAATCGGTTACCTAAAGTGGGTAATCGATTATACATGATACATTTTCAAAAATTAAAGTATTTCTACATTTTGAAAAAATTGTGAAAATTGTGGCGGTTTTAAAGTGTTATTACGGCGGTTTAAAATGCCACAATTTACCAAAAACAAAATAGTTAATTTTAAAATAATTTTAAAAAATTCATGAAAGGTTTAAGATGAATATGCATTGTTTTTATGAGCAATAAAGATATATATATATATATATATATATATATATATATATATATATATATATATATATATATATATATATATATATATATATATATATATATATATATATATATATATATATATATATATATATATATATATATATATATATATATATATATATATATATATATATATATATATATATATATATATATACACTTGAATTGTAATGCATATTCAACCATCTTGATTCTTCCATTTATTTTCCAAAATTTTTTGATAATATGAACTTGATTGCTCTAGTCTTCAAGCTTTGACTCTTCTTCTTGTTGATGTGTTTGTCTCTATCAAAACTATAACTTAGAACAAGAAGAACTCTTCTTCACAGGATCTACTACATGGACAAAGGTGGGAAGTAGCTGGAAAGGGAAAGGTAAGGCTAAATATATAGGTAAACTAGTAGTTGATATTGTGTGTCAAAATGGGTTTGAGACATTAGGGATTTCGAATGATCCCATAATGTCCTTATACAAAGGTCAATGATAGTTGCTTGGAATACTAGAGGGATCAACAATAATGAGAAATGTAGAAAGGTCTTCTCCCGCTTCAAGAGCATTAACCCTATCATTTTAATTTTGGTTGAAACTAGAGTTAAAGAAGCTAAATCTGGCAGGATCAGGAATAAATTAGCCTCTCATTGGTCTTATATGGACAACTATAATGAGCACAAGAATGGCATAATTTGGATAACGTGGAATCCTAATAAAGTTATGATTAGGAAGATAAGTTGCTCTGCTCAGTTTATTCATTATGTTATATATGACTTGAACGATTCCTTCAACATGTGGTGTACTGCTATACATGATTACAACATATTGGAGAGTAGAAGGATTCTTTGGCAAGACATTGATAGTACGCAACCTTGACAGATCCGAGCCTTGGTTTTTAATGGGGGACTCCAATAATGTTCTTCATGTTCAGGATAGATTGGGAGGGGCCACTGTGCAGGAAGCTGAGTATAGAGACTTGGCAAATATGCTCATTAGAACTGGCTTGCATGACAAAGAGAGTATTGGTAACTCTCATATTTGGTTTAATAATCAGGCTGATAATCTTATTTACCCAAAAATTGATAGAGTGTTTGCTAACCTGGTTTGTCATCAAAGTCATTCTGATTTTGTCCTTAAGATCATGGACAATGGGGTCTCTGACCATGCCATTCTTAGCCTTATGAAGAAAACCACAAATAAGCCTTTCAAAAAAGCCTTCAAGTTTTAAAATCCAGTAGTTTCAACTAAGGGTTTTTTAGATATGGTCAATATGAATTGGAATAAACCTGTCAAAGGAACTGGTATGAGATCTCTTTGGAGAAAGCTCATGAGGTTCAACCGGCCAACATCTTGAAAAGCAAATCTTTCCAAGGTATTAAGAAGCAAGTGGATGATGCTAGGGAGGAGCTCAAAATTCTTCAACACGTTCTGGCCAAAGATAAAATGAATAGAGAGAAAATCATAGTGGTCAAAAGTAGCATGGAAAAAGTCATTATGTTGAACAACATAGAAGACCAACTGCTGAAAGAACGTGCTAAGATAGATTGACTAAAAAATGGAGATTGTAACTCTGCAATTTTCTATGCTTTACTGAAGAATAAGAGAGTGCAAAAACAAATCCTTGAATTGAACACGGATGCAAGGGAGACAATCTCTAACCAAGACGAGATAACAGAGGGAATTTTGAGGTTCTACAAGAATCTGGTTGGCAAGGCAGCTGAGAACCTTAAAGGTATTGACATTGTTTTCATGAGGAAAAGTGCCCAATTATTAATGGATTAGAGAACCAACCTGGTTGTTCCTATTAAAACTGAAGAAATAGATAAAGCCCTCAGAGAAATAAATGATAATACATCTCTAAATGCTAAAATGGTAAAAGATTTCAGGCCTATTTCCTGCTGCACAGTGGTATACAAAATCATAACTAAAATCCTTTCTTCAAGATTAAGTAAAGTCTTGAGCTCCATTGTTAATCTCAATCAAGCAGTTTTTGTTCTTGGGCAACACCTTCATGACCATGTTCTGTTGTCTTATGAGCTTATAAAGGGTTATAATACTAAAACAGGTCCTCCAAGGTGTATGATCCAAATGGATCTCCAAAAAGCCTATAATTTTTTAGAGTGGCGGGCTTTGGAGAAAATCCTTCAGGAGTTAAGCTTTCCTTCCCAATTCATAAAGTGGATCCTTGTTTCTGTTCAAACTGTGACTTACAAATTTAATGTCAATGGGAGTAGGCTAAAAGCTTGAAGGATAATAGAGGTTTAAGGCAATGGGATCCTCTCTCCCCTTTGCTGTTTGTCTTAGTGATGGAATACAAGAGAGACAA